CCCCCCCCCCGAGTGGGCGCGTCATAAAAGCCACATTAAGAAGGATCAGACCGAATCTCCGTCTGTCAGTCGGCCGCTCCACACAACCCACACTGGGATGACCGCGCGGTCCGAGTTTCCCGTACTTTAGAAATCTTCCAAGCCATGGCTTTTAGCAAACCGTGATAGGTTCAAGCAGGTTAAATTGTTTATAGGGAGGAAAATACGCTGAGCCACAGGCCTCTCTCTCCCCCATCTTCAGCATTAGACCACCACCCAAACCTGTCAGTTTTCTGATGGGCGCAGTGAATGACAGGTCCGGCGAACCGTCTGCGCGCGCCATCACATGATCTGGCCCCCTTAACACACACACACACACACACAAAGACCAGGATTTGCACAGACAGGAGGCTTACAAGGAGCCGAAAAAGGACTTAAAACTAGCTTGCAAGCATATACGATTGGAGCAAAGAACCAGAACATCAAGCGAATATTCGAAACTCTTCTACTTAAGGCGAAGCTTACGTGTTATGTGCTAACATACCATGACTAACATTAACTGACTATTTATACAAAAACACTTTAGCGACTATTCGTAGTACCTAAACTGTAGTGCAACTAAACTGACAAGAGGGCACCCAACATAGGCTTTGGGTAATTCGGTTAGCTACCTAATCGAACCAAAATGTCTTGGTTTACTACTGGGTGTCACTAATGCAGCGGAATGCAATAGACACAATCGCAAAGGAAGAGTTAAACAAACAGGGGGCAAACGTACGACAAAGGTGATATCACCACCGTCCTCTTGAACAGTTGGGCGGATGCGCGAGTCCAAGAGCTCCTTAATCATCAGAACGGTAGCATCGGTTTCTTCCTCTTCTGAAAGGAGAAGAGAACTACTGTAAAGGAACATCCACTTGGCCGACCAAGATCTTAAGTAGTTCATTTGAGGAGAAGCACGCAAGGCAGTATGGCAGTCTAACTTGTTCATCTGGAAAGCAAATAACATCAGTGAGGAAAAATTCATGTGTGTATGTTTCTGAGTGTCATCTGCACACATGAGTTCCAGGGGGTAGAACGATAGAAATGCTGCTCATGTGGCGTTTAAGACGTATGGAATACCTTAGGAATTGCATTTACGGCAGTGTCAACAACTTAAAGGCACAATTTCATAAAAATTCCTGGTTGCAGCGGAAATCTAAAAAGGAAGCTACATAGTATACTTGAAGAAAGGGCATCTTCCGGTTTAAAAAAAAGGTTTCTACTTGCGCTATTTTCAACGAAAGTGAAGGATTCCTTCACAATGCATCGTATACGTACATTTATCTACGTTTTCCTATGTTTTTAGCTGACATTATAGTACAGCGCCACTTTTAAACGGTCAAGCAATTTGCTGATCGCATCCTTAGTGCGGTTGCTCACCATCTCTATTCTGAGCTAGTGGCTGCGAAGTCTTCCCGTACAATGCGCCGGGGCTTCCGTCATATGTCTTGCCGTACATCGGCACAGCAGCACTCTGTACTTCCATTTCTAGCACGCTACCTCAAGTTTGAAGAAGCGGAAATTGGGAAGTTGAAGGCTAACCTGTCTCTACAGGATATTCCCTTCTAAATAAAGCATTCCTTGCTCTCAATATGCAACTTGACCCACATCCAGTTTATGGGAGCTTTGCGATTGCTTCCCCACATCGTAGGGAAGTACGTAACTCTCCTTAGAGGGAATGTATACAGTATGTATTTTTTGGGAACCTTGAATTTAATTGTAACGGCTAGTGGAGTTCACAAGTATTCGGCAGTTTAAAACTTGTTAAATTCGAAATATTTCTTTTTTTCAAGTATTACATTATAAGAAAGTGTAATTTTCTTGCAAACGAGTACAAGAAAGAATATCATATGCAAATTTATTTCGGTTTATTGTGATTTATAGGGGAAGTAAGAATGAGAAAATGCAGCCATTTTCTACAGAGCGGTATTTTTGTTGATGTTCAAAAAGAAGTTAGTTCAAAATCCGGCGTCTTGATTTGACTGAATCATCCACAAACTATTTGGAAAGGGTAGAGTCATCAGTCGTCTCTACCTCATAAGGTCGTGTGGACTTCGTTGGAGCTTTAATAGTCTAAATTCACCGATTAATTTAAACAGGCTATCAAAAGTCGTCGTCAGTCACCGCTATCGCAAAATATTGCAGTGTGCATTCCTCTGAGACTTCACCCGTCTAAATTCACGTAAGAATTCAAATAGGTTGATAAAGATAATCACTCATCTGGCGAGCTTGGAAAAGTTCAACAAAATTTACATAAACTTCTGGTCTTTTAATTGATGGGTAAGA